ACACACACACACACACACACACAAACACACACACACACGGCCCCAGCTGCATTCGTAATTCGAGTAGTACTGCGTTTCCCCCAAAAAATAAGACCTAGCATGATTTTTTGGGATGCTCATAATATAAGCTCTGTCCCAAAAATAAAACCCACTTAAGATCGTCAGCCAGATGGACAAATTTAGTTCCGTATTTCCCTGAAAATAAGACCTATCCAGAGAAATAAGCCCTGGTGTGTCTTTCGGAGCAAAAAATTAATAGAAAACCCTGTCTTATTTTCGGGGAAACAGGGTATCCGTAAAGGCAAGGTGTCGATGTAGTAATGATATCATTGTGATGAGGGGTCCTCTCCTCCCCCATCGTCCCCTCCCCCACCCCTCCCCTCCCCCTGCAGGTGCTCTGAAGTCCATCATGAAGCGGCTGGACAGCCCGGCCAAAGCAGAGCCGGGGGCCAGTGGGAAGAAGACCCTCCAGTTTGTGGGCCTCCTGAATGGCGAGTACGGACCCCTCCTCTCCTTTGGTGGGAGAAAAAGCCGAGGGGTGGACGGGCTGCAGGGCCCCACACAGCCTGGGGGGAAGGGGAGGATGTGGCTGAGGGTCCCCTTCCTCAGTGTTGCTCCTTGGACACTTGGTCTCGGCCACCGGGCCTTCCTACCCCTTTCGATCGAGCCTCCATGACCAGAGGCAGTCTACCCCCCAGATGCCGCCACTTGCAGAAGCCTGATCCGGAATACACGCTTGGGTCCTTCGGAGGGGAGTGGGAGGCACCAGAGGGGCAGGGCGGGATAGAAACCCCTGCCCTGTTCAGGGTCAGCTGGCAAGAGAGGAGGGGGCTTTGGCGTCCCCATCTTGCTTGTGGGGCTCTGTTGGGGGTCTTGATAAGATGGCAGAGGGGTGGACAAGGTGGGTCGGAAAGGCAGCTATGCGCCTTAGGCCATGGCAGGTATCTAAAGGTCCTGGGACCCTGGCCCTCCTCTGACGCCCCCTCTTATGGCAGGTATGAGAGCACCTCTAGTGAGGAGGAGGAGGAAGAGGAAGAGGAGGAGGAAGAAGAGGAGGAGGAGGAGGAGGAGGGATCTCCCCACAGCTCCTTCAGCGAGACCGTCGGTGGCTTGGAGGGCGATCTGGCTGCCAACCCAGATGTCAGTGACAGCAGCGAGGATGAGGAAGGGAGTCCGGGCACCGAGGCAGGCCCTGATCCTGAAGATGCTGCTGGACACGAAGGAGCAACTCCCAAGGTCAAGGAGAGGTAAGGCCATAGGGTCTCGCGCCTAAACGGGGTTGGACTAGAAGACCTCCAAGGTCCCTTCCAACTCTGTTGTGTTAAGATTCTTCCAGACCTTCCTTGCAGGGAATGGTCTGGATTTTCCCCCACCACCACCAATTCCAGCCGCCTCCTCCTTCCAGCCTCAGTTCCTCCTTCCTGTAAAATGGGTACATCCAACTCCAGGGGATGCCACCGAGGCTGCAATCATGAAAACAGCCCTCCTAGGGGCGCATTTGCCCCCGCCCCCCACTCCCTAAATCAAGCAGCACTTGGCTGGGTTGCTCCGTGCCGCAGCCAGCTGGCAGGGGATTCTGGGAGTTGAACTCCCCACCGCCCGAGAGGGAAAAATATTGGACTGGAGGATGGAAAAATCACTTCCAACCCATTTGCTCCAAAAGGCCGTCTGGAAAAACTGCAGATCCTCAGTCATCTTGGCTAGAATCTGGAGAAAGTTTAAAATCTCAAATAACCTGAACTAAAATCTGGAGAACACACCAGCCAATCACAATCCCTCAGCGGCAAGAGACCCTGACTTTTGGGAGATCAGAAAAGGGGGCAGGTCCCCTCTGTCCCGTCCCGTCCCCAAAAAAAAGAGGCCTTCAGGGGAGACCTGGCCGAGAGGTGGTCCAAATCAGAACTTTGAAGCTGGAAATGGACTTGTTTTGTGAGTCCT